CCCCCCCCCTCCACTTGACATCCACACATGTTTCCCAGGCTCCGCTGCCCCTCCTGCAGGCCCCGGGATATCAGGTGCCGGCGGGAAGCTGGGAGCAGAGCGTTGAACTTCCATTCACCAATCTCCTCTCCGCTCTATGGGACCAGGAGCGACGAGGATTACATCCTTTCCGGTCCCATAACTGTCATTGCTATCTGCACTTCAATAGCTTTTTTTAGAGTGGAAAGGTGACACTAGGGGTCTTTTGGACCCCTAGGGTCACTTTTAACCCTTTCGCTGCCAAGCCCTCCGGAACATTTTACCCGTCACTGCTAATATGCTATCACCCCTCCAAAACTCACTCCCGTGATGGACTAGAATCTCATGTTAAGTTTATTAAATGTATTGACGTTATAGTCTAGCACAGGAGTGATTCTGCAGTGGTGGCTACTTTACAACACACACAGGGACCATGGAGAACAAAAGTAGCCACCCTCCACAAGGAAGTACAATGTCAGCACAAATTTAGAGATGATTGAAGATATATGGCTGATTGATACACGAATAAGCTACACTTTTGTTAACAGTTAAGGTACTTTAATGCATTTTAAGATTTAACTCCTAAATTTAGTGTCACGTTAACACAGAATACATCCATGACACTATATTTACAGGTTCTTTTTTCACTGCCTCCATCTAATTTAAAATCAATATGCATCTATATGAGCCAACAGACTGGGGTGGGGTGTGTTCTTCATATTATGTATTCAGCTGTGTGTTGTGAATAGACTTGAATAGATACATTTTCCAATCTATTCAGCATTATTTACAATATAGAAGTAAATTACTCTAGAAAAGTAATAACTCTAAAACCTTAAATAGATGCTATTCAAATGCTAGGGTACAATACTCTCTTTGGACATATGACGCAGAAGCTGAATGTCTGGTGCAATTATATGTCCCAGCATTAAACAAACTGACCTCTCTTATTGCAGAACAGAACTTGCTTTGTAGGACTCGTTGTAAAGCTTGAAGTTTCTGTGGTGGTACTTCCCCACTTCTCTGCAGTCTTTCCAGCAGTTCAATTGCACGGGATACATCTAGAAATTACAATACTTAGTCAATACAGGTAAATTTTAGGTAGGGTAACACATTTAGACCAGAACTCTACAAAATATGAAGACTGGACTTTTAACTATGAATTCAGATTAAAAATATTTTATATATTTTTAATCCCAATTTAACTTTTTAGTTAAAATTAGCTTAATACATTCCAGTTGTTTCAAAAGGTGTGCAAAGTCTTAAAGTTTCAACACAGTCTGAAAAGAAAAATCTGTTTTGCCAGCATGCTGTACAGTGGGACCCTTGCTCTCTATGGGGAAGTAGTGATCTTTCTCCATAGGTCCAACACACACCTGATCATTCAGAGCTAGAGAACTCCAATTAGCAGTGAGCTCTACAGAGAGACCACTGTTTCCACGCAGAGAGCATGGGTCACACTCAGGGGACAGGCTTCTCTACTCAGGCTGTAGCTGCTTTAGAAACAAAACAAATAGTAAGACATTGAATGCCTTTTGTTTTGCTGCACCTGGAATGTACTTAGATGATTTTAATTTGGAGGTTCAATTGGACTTTTAATACAACCAGTATAATTACAAGAGAAGCAAATATATTTATGTATTTATTTACTTATTTATTACAATATTTCCCTGCACATCAGAATTCCCACTGAAAGTGGGAGAGACAACACAATGAGTCAGTGGGGGTGATTTACTAACCTAAACACACACACGCACCAGCTACACGCAAGTCTCTAAAAGCATATTTCCACTAATGCCATATATGGAAAAATCATGCACATGATGCATATATAATGCTGCTTCACAGTTTAGACAAAAATGGTTAGCTCATGCATTTACATTCCTGCATTCATCAACGCAAGCAACACAACGTAGAGCTAATTTACACAACATCACCTTGCAATTCATGCAGGGCTTTGTACAACACACCTGCTGGGTGTGTACACACTACAAAAGTGTCTAGATTCCACCAATAGATCATGCTGGGAGGGAACACACTACAGAGGTGTATACTTGTTCGTGGCGTGTTTATAAGGTTAGTAAATCAACCCCAGTTAGTTTCTGCTGTATTACACAATCCTACAGGTCATCAGTTTAGAGTTATCTGAGAATACTGGTCCTATAATTATTGCTTTCACTCTGGCACACACAGTGATACCTATGTAGTGCTATAGTTGTTTTTGTACGTAGGCACACCTGACACGTGTTTGCGTTAGCATGCGCGCATTTGTGGGTGAAAGGGGCTTAACATTTTTTTTATATTTTGAAATTAATTTTTTAAAACTTTTTTTTTACAGAACTTAATTGCTATTACATAGGGGAGCTCACAAGCCTCCTATGTGATAGCATACTAGTGGTGACAGGTCCTCTTTAAGGTTACATTCGGGGTCTATTAGACCCCGAATGTCCCCTTTGGGCTTCAAAAAAAGCTGTTCAAGCACAGATTCTTTTGTAGCTGGGGAACGACAGCTGAAAATCTGAAAGTGATGCAATCAGCGTCGCTTCCAGCTTTATTCAGCAAGGTGGAGATTGGCGAATGGATGTTCGCTGATCTCTCTCCCTGCCGACACCCACAATGCCGGTCCTGTGCCCGCAGGAGGTTGCAGCAGAGCCCGGAAAGCAAGACAGGGGGGTGTCAGGCAGGGTGGGACCAGTTTGCCAGCCCGTGAAAGCAATCTGGCAGCAGCTCAGCCCCTAGAATCCCATCCGGTGTAAAGCTCACAGTCGGCTTTACACAGGTGAACAGAGTCCTGGAGGCAGCCAGCGCCGTAAGGGATATGGCGTAGGGTCTCATGTAGCCTGTGCGGACTCTCAGGTGGGCTATGCGGACTCTTAGGTGGGCTATATGGGGTTTTAGGCGGGCTAAGCGGGCTCTCATGTGGGCTAAGCGGGCTCTCAGGTGGGCTAGGCGGGCTCTCAGGTGGCTGTGCGGGCTCTCAGGTGGCTGTGCGGGCTCTCAGGTGGGCTAAGCGGGCTCTAAGGTGGGCTATGGACGCTCTCAGGTGGGCTAAGCGGGCTCTCAGACAGACTAAGCGGACTCTCAGGTGGGCTATGCAGGCTTTACGTCTCAACAGGAGTCCAGAGGCGGGCAGCGTGACAAAGGCGGAGATGTGCAGGCTGGTGCCTGTTTACAGGTGCCCGGCTCACAGGAAGATCCCGATTCAGGCAGATGTGGCTCCCTGAGATACCGTGCGCTTGCTGGGGACCTAAGCAGCCGCATCTGTCAAAAAGTTTAAAGTGCCGGTATCAGTAGCATAACGTATTTTATCATTCAATGTTTTTTGTGTATTTATATCTCTGTATTAAATATAATTTTTTATGTGCAACTTTATATGTTCTTCTTTTGTTGGGAAGCCAACTTTTGAACTTACAGGAGAATTTTATTGTCGATTCTATTGACTCCGATTGTTGTATTAGCAATTTATCTCTTGCTGAGACCTCTATGCCTGGCCAGTATAAGCAGATATAATCACCGCAAACAATCCTTATCAGATAGCTGAACTCACCAAATACCTTTTGATCAACAAAGATCTTTATTGAATGCAGCAGGTTACAGCAGACAACAGGATGCAGCAAATGATTGAACAGATGGTATTTGCAGGTCGAAACATAGTAATGTATTCCCCCATGTGAACAGATTAACATGTGGCCATGTCACAAGCAACCATTTTGATGCCAAAGGACATCTCTGATAAGAAGGGTGGTACCGTACATAACACACAAGGGTGGGGAATGCAGAAAAACATGGTGCAATAACCAAAATGCCCGCAAGATGGCTAGCTATACTAGTAATATCCTAGTAATGCTTAAAGTGACATTAAAGACATTAAGCCTGCCTGAGGTGTCCTGCCTGACAGACGGAAGACTTCCCATTATGATGCACCGTTAAATCGGTTGCAAGCGCAGACCATAGGCCCATCCCGGCCGCTGACATCACACGCCAGGGTATATAGGCTGTGTGTTGGAATGTGGCTGGGTAATGGTGGAGAGAGGGAGTCAAGTGGTTTTGGAAGCCCAGTGAACCAAATGTAAGTTCTATTTCATTACGATATGCTTTGACTACATTGCATTAGATGATGTTCTAGTCCCTTGAGTATGGAAACCTGGGTTTATTGATTTTGGTATATTGGGATAATGAGAAATGGAGATTAATACCCTGGAGATTCATTATTTTATTTAAGTGATGTATTTATGAAATTACTAGATAGGATTTGTCCTACATTATCAATCATTATCTACATAATAGACATTTGAAGTCATATCACTGCCTTCAATTAATATGTATTTATTTACCAATCGCTAGTTCCCATATATATAAGGATAGCTTCAGGTACCCACGATACAACTCTGTTATATTTGTATATATTATTTATTTTGATATTTTAATATATTTAATCTACAGCATTCTTGGATGGTGATTTACCCTTCCTTGTCCGGGTACCTCTGTGTGATGGCTCCCCCTCTATTCCCCATGTCTTCCATTGATGAGTATTGTCCTCCGGTGATGTGCAACTGTTTACCACTCAAACCCCTAACAAGGTTATGTATGTATATGTGTATTTGTGTATTTTTGTATACTATTATATGGCGTATAAGTTTTATTGTAAAGATGGCCATAGGCATTTATACTCCCGATGTTTAAACATTACAGAGCGAAACGCATAGAAGGCTGGACCCACGACACATCAATGCAAAACCTCAGACAGTTTACTACAATTACATTTTATGTTGATCTAATATTTATGACTTAAGAGGCTTGGAATATTGTGTATGACATTGCTGATGTTAAATATGTGACCGTGGGGTCCAGAGAGGCCCAATGCCGGAAGTTATTTTAGATAACACTGTATTGAGGGTGGTATTGCTGACCTAATACCAGCAGGCTTATATTTATGCTTTTATGGTGTTTAACAATCTATTTTTATAATAAAGATATATTTGCAATAGAATGTGTTATTCATGCCTAGAGTGACACCTTAAAAGCCACATTCTTTCTTGTTTGTTTTATATGTATATTCAGGGGTGTGGTGTCACACTGTTTTGGTGGCTCAGATTACCTATTTTTCTTTTGTACAAACAAAAGAAAACAATGGTACTAATTGCTTCAGGAAGATGAAACTATACACTTAAAGAAAGCATTACCATGCTGGCTCACAATGACTCTTCCTCAGGTTGCGATTCCCTTACTGTTTTATGCCCACGTGCAAATTTGCTGAGATCAATTAGCACCACTGTATAACACTGTTGGGCACCAGATGGGACCTATTATACTATCACAGCAGCAAGTTCATTAAAGTGACATTAAAGGAAAAATTTTTTTCCCCTCCCCCTTATGTAAATGTTAGCACTTACCTTAAATGATGTCTCTTTTTCCGATCTTCCTCTTCTTTCCCCATGTTTTCATCTCCGATCCAGCGCTGACTGCCCTGTCTCTCCGATCCAGCGGTGTCTGCAGGCGGGTGCACGCGTCCATAGACTTACCTTGCGTCTCTGCTCGTCTCCCGGCCGAAATTCGGAACTGCGCATGCGCCCGCCCCAAGATCCTTTGCGGCCGTACGAGCAGTTCCTGATTCTCGGCACGGGAACAAGCGGCGATAACGAGGTAAGTTTTATATATATATAGGCAATATAACAACCGGAGGGTTTAGAACCCCTTTAAGGAGCACAGCCCCCCTTGTTACCTTGGGCCTGTTGCCTTGTCATTTGTGTTCTTGTATTGCTTGCTGGTAACTAAACTTCCTGGCAGTAATGGGGTTTGGCAACCTGATGGTGCTTCCCGTAAGGTTGCTTTTATATATACTTGGTGTCCTCCTCCAGCAAATTGTGGTATTAACCCACATGTTTAATGAACAGCAGCTATTTCAGGGCTTTTGTCCTCTTTCTCAGCAGCAACCTTCTTCTCGCTCCTTGTTATGGCTACATCTAAATTCCATATTATATCCTACTAAATGCAAGATTTTATCTCCTGCCAGAAATGTAAAACTGCTTTTAACTATTATGCATCTCAACGCTCCAACATT